GTGAAAACCTCTCAAAAAAAAAAAAAAAGTAAATTTAACAGAACCAGCAGATGGCATAATGGTTATGTTGCTGGACTCCCACATGCCAACCATGGTTCGAGTCCCAGACCTGGCAGCTTGAAACTCAGGCTGGTTGTGTGTGTGTGTGTGTGTGTGCACCGAAAATCACAAGAGGAACATGGAAGAGAAGGGATTGCAGTGTGGCCATCCTCCTGGGGTGATTTCTCACTTTCTGTCTCTGTTTATGGCGAGCACATGTGCCATATAGCAAAAATACCTCTTTAAAAAAGAAAAAGGCAAATGTACCATAATTCAGAGGTTTTTGCTATAGGGCGTATGCGCTTGCCAGACAGACAGAGAGAGACAGAGAGACAGAAAGCGAGAAATCATCCCCCGGGGGGATGACCACACTGCAATCCCTTGTCCTCCATTGTCCTCTCAGGATCTTGGACACGCACACACACGTGCCTGGTGTGAGTTTAAGCCACTGGGTCCGGGATGTGAACCGCGATCAACCACATGGGAGTCCAGTGACATAGCCATTACGCTAACTGCTGGTCCCAAATGTACCAAAATTCAAAGTGGATGGGGGGAGAGCAGGGCCGTTTATATTCAGCCTTAAGGATCTTTTACTATTTTATGATTGGAAATTACTTGAGTTTAGTAAATGATAAGTATATATGGAGTAACATTCAGTTCTTAAAAATAATATTGTGGCAAAATAACATGAAAATAGACATAACTATTTTTTACAATAAATATGTTTTGTTTTTGAATCGATGAGGGAGGAGAAGGTCTGAAGTAATCAAAATAGGAGAAAGGGACCATACATTTTTTCTTTCTAGAACCTTCTAGTCTGAAATCTTCTGACACAAACATCTTCGAAAGTAACGTGCCTTCAAATAAGAGCAGTTTCAATCGGGGAGATGAGAGAAGGCATGAAGCAGCAGTGCCACCTCTTGCTATATCTAGTACTAGACCTGAAAAAAGAGATTCCAGAGTTTCTACAAGTTCACAGGAGCAGAAAGCCAGTAACGTCAGGTAAGAGTACTGTGTAGACTTGCTGTGGGCGGATTGGTATATGTATGACATCATTAGGTTTTTAAGTTTTCTTTATTTCTTCCATGAGAGACTGTACACATAAGAAAGACAGCACTCCCAACAGGGTCTCAACACTGCTGTTTACCCCCAGCCCAGGAATGGGTTTGCTTGTGCCCAGTGTACTGAGGAAGATCACTGGACTTGAACCAGCAACCTTCTTATGTGGGATTACCTCATAAAGTATTATATCTTACCATCGTATCATCCTCAGGTTTCTACAATAGTTTTTTTATTTTTCAGTAGTTGGAGCAATTTTTAGAAACAGTGAAGTGATCATAAGTAAGTTTTTGAACAAAGTTACTGAATTGATCTTAAGTGTAGTTATCTTTTGTCTCAAAAGTAGGAAATTAAAGTTCAGATTTGTTTTGAATGAAATATATAGAAGGAGTATTCGCGCTTTTTTATAAGATATTTTTAAGTAAACTTTCTTTGAAGGCTTGGAGGTAATTGCTCTAACTTGGTTGTAATACTTTCTTTTTTTCTTAAATAGACAGACTTATGATGATGGAGCTGCAACCCGACTGATGTCAACAGTGAAACCATTGAGGGAACCAGCACCCTCTGAAGATGTGATTGATATTAAGCCAGAACCAGATGATCTCATTGATGAAGACCTCAATTTTGTGCAGGAGAATACCTTATCTCAGAAAAAACCCACAGTAACACTTACATATGGTTCTTCTCGGCCTTCTATTGAAATTTATCGACCACCTGCAAGTCGAAATGCAGATAATGGTGCTCATTTAAACAGATTGCAATTTCAACAGCAGCAAAACAGTATTCATGCTGCCAAGCAACTTGATATACAGAAGAGCCGGGTATATGAAACAGGACATTTATGTGAACCGGAAGTGCTCAGCAGCTTGGAGGAGACTTACAGTCCCTTTTTCAGAAGCAATTCAGAAAAAATGAGTATTGAGGTTTGTGTATACTATTTTTTTTTTTTTTTATGAGAGTGGTTTTTTTTGTTGTTGTCGTTATAGGGCATGTGCATAAGCCAGAGAGACAGAAAGTGAGAAATTACCCTCCGGGGGGGGTGGCCCCACTGCAATCCCTTCTCCTTTATTCTCTTCTTGGGATCTTGGGCACGCGCGCACGCACACACGCACACACATGCGCCTGGCATGAGTTTAAGCCACCAGGTCCGGGACTTGAACTGCAGTTGACTACTTTGTGAGTTCAGTGACATAACCATTACGCCAACTGCTAGTCCCTAGGTTTGTGTATACTTTTTAATCCTGGCTTGTAAGGCTGAAAATCGGAAGTTCTTGATACTTGGTAGTATGTGAATTAACACACAGTTTATTTACACTGGTTTCTCTGCTATTCAACATATTGTGCCAGTGAAATTTTTCTCTGACTGGCTCCTAGAGATTGCTCATATTATATCCATATGCCTTCTTGGGGTTTCCAGCATGTGAGTTAGTGTTAGCCTCACCTGATCTATAAGTAACTCTCTTTTGCTAGTTTCCTTGACTACTATATGCATCTGTTTGTTAAATAAATACAAAGCTCTAAGTTTTGTTTTGGCTTAAGGTTGTCTGTTGATAAAATTTATGTTTTTATAAGAAGCCAGAAAGTACCTTCTGAATTTTTTTTTTTTTAAGAATTACTTTAGCTTTATTTAATTAATTTATCTTAATTATGACCAGAGAGGGACAGAGTGAAAGAGAGAGAGTGAGAAAGCAAGCCGCCAGGTCCAGGACTTGAACCGTAGTTGGCCATGTGACAGTACAGTGCCCTTAACCACAATGCCCTCTGCTGGCCTCTCTCCAAATTCTTACTATGGTTGGTTTTTTTCTTTAAATGAAAAATATTTCATGATAGAATTTTATGAGACTGAGTAAGCATACTTGCCTGATTGCAGGATGAAAACTTTCGGAAGAGAAAGTTGCCTGTGATAAGTTCAGTTGTTAAAGTAAAAAAATTCAATCATGCTGGAGAAGAGGAGGAGGAAGATGATGATTATGGCTCCCGAACAGGAAGCGTTTCCAGCAGTGTGTCAGTGCCAGCAAAGCCTGAAAGGAGGTACCTGAACGTGGCTATCAGTTAATCTGTAGCTGCCTGGTGGAGTGTTGTGGGTTTCTTGAAGAGGATAGTCATGTTAATGAAAATGTAGTATAATAACGTGTAAGACTTTTCCATTGGTATTTGAGAACTGTGTATGTATTTTTCTTTCTTTTTTTTAAAAATAATTATCTTATTTAACTTTATTATTTAACTTGACCAAAGAGGGACAGAGAAAGAGAGAGGGAAAGTGAGAAAGCAAGCTGCCCGGTCTGGGACTCTAACCACGGTTGGCCATGTGGGAGTCCAGTGCCCTTAAGCACCATGCCACCTGCCAGCTGTATTTTTCTTTTTAAGAGAGATTTTTGCTCTAGGTCACGTGCACTTGCTGGAGTGACAGAGACAGACAGAAAGTGAGAAATCACCCCCTAGGGGGATTGGCCGTGTTGTAGTTCCTTCTCCTCCATTCTCCTCTTGAGATTTTGGGCATGCATACACACATGCCTAGCGTGCTTTAAGCCACCAGGTTTAGGACTCAAACTGTGGTTGGCCATGTGGTATTTCAGTGATGTGACCATTATACCATCTGTTGGCCCTCATGTATGTATGTATTTTTAATTGCTAGAGGTCACATGCTTTCACCAGAGGAAGTTGGTGGGGGAGAGGGAGAACCCCCTGCAGGCATGGTCACACAGCAGTCTATTCTCCCATTTTTCTATTCTGTCAGGATATTGAGCATGTGAGTACATAGCATGTCTTTGAAGATGCTAGGACTGGGACCCAAACCACAATCATGGGGGAATCCAGCTGCTTTTAACTACTAGGCTATTCAACTAGCTCTAGAGAAATGTTTACATTAACAAGGAGAAATTGCTTAATTTGGAGAGGATTGCAGAGATTCTTACTAATCTGAGGAGAAAACATTGTTAATCCAGGTTTGTTATTTTTAAAAGTTAGAAGGTTCAGTTCTACTTATAGCATTGCCTAAAAACTGCAGCTGGTTGTTAGAAACAGAAGAGAGGCTATGGTAAAAGTCACAGCTAGCTTGTAAAGAACTGAAATGTAAAATTTAATAAACAATTTTTTCTTAACTCTCTTAGACCTTCTCTTCCCCCTTCTAAACAAGCTAACAAGAACCTAATTTTGAAGGCTATTTCTGAAGCTCAAGAATCAGTGACAAAAACAACTAACTATTCTACAGGTAATTAAAATGCATTGTGATGTTTACATTGGGTAAGAGATTTTTTTTTAACTCTTGAATAAGTTAAAAATGATTGCTCCCTAAGTTGTGGTAAATAAAGGTGTCTGCTGGATGTCAAGACCAGCACTGAGATTCCTCTATAGAATTAAAAAAAAAAATATTAGAGGATGTGTGAGCTTGCCAGGAAGAGGAATAGAGAGAATATACTCCTGCCTGTGGAGCATGGTCACGTCACAATTCCTTCTTCATTTTGCCATCTCGCTGTGATTTTGGGCACACATACATACATGCCCTGCCTGTTTTTCAATCCAGGACCAGGACTTGAACTATATGGTCAAGTATGTAGGATCCACCCCTCCAGCCCAACTAGGTTACTAAAAAAAATAGTTTTAAAAGGGATGTGACCAGTTTGAGAAATTTGCCCAACTGTCAGTGGAATTCAGTTTTGAGTACTGTGTAATGGCCTTTTACTCTCTTTCCAATTTGTGTGAAACATGACAAATAAGAACTTTAAAGGGAGTTTTGATAAAAGTGAGGCTTTCTTATTAATAGCAGTAGATTTAACCATAGTTAAGGATTTATGACGTAGAGATCTGGCTCTGTGGTCTGGTGGTTAAGGCAACCAGATCCCACATGGCTGATGCTGTGGTTGGAGTCCTGGACCCAGCAGCTTGAGAAATGCTGGGCATGTGCATGTGTCCCAAATTCAAACAGATGGAGAAATGGAGAAGGGATTGTAGCATGACTGTTCTCTATGGGGCAAGGAGGTGCTTTTCACCTTCTCCCTCTGTGTCTCTTTTTCTCTCTCTGGTAAGTACACATGTCCTCTGGCAAAATTATTTTAAAATATTCTGATGTGCAAGAGAGTACAGTCGTATTAGTGGCTGAAGTTCGAGAAATTTAACTAAAACGAATATATTAACTGATTGGCTACTTTCCTTTCAATGGAATCCATTAATATAAGGCAGAGAATTGACTCGTTTGTGATATTTTTACTCTGATCCTGAGTAATTTTATGTAAGAATATAAAAGCATTACATGGTTTTAAGCTAACAGTTTAAATAGTCTGAGGAGTTCATTTTAAAATACAAAGACCAAGTGATAAGTGCCATTTTGTGTGTTACCAATAAATTCGGTACTGTGTGCCCCACCTGCTGTCACCTGTGTGTAAAACTTTGTGTTGTGTTGATGGTAATTACCCATACAAATATATTAGAGAATTTCTGCTATGGAATTGATGAATGCTCTTAGAGCATTGCTTAGCTTGTTTATTTTCTCTTGTACTTTTTGTGATCTTTTCCTAAGGTGAAATCAACTCTCAGCCATCGATTTTTTTTTATCTTGGTACTCATCTTTTCTCTTGCTTTCCCTCACCCCTAATTTAACCTTGGACATAAAATTAAATAGGTTACAAAATATAGGATAAGGATTATCAGGCAAAGGCCAACACTTGACATAATGATTATCTATTTACATTATCTTTTTATATATCAGTAGTATTAACCATTTTGAGTGATTAGACATTTAGAAAATTCCACGACCTTGAAATAGCCTGCTTTTATAATAGTTGGCGGTCTCCGAGTTTTAAAAATTGTACTGTGGGCCAACTGGTGGTATGGTAGTTAAGGGGCTAAGTCTCACAAGGGTGACTCCATGGTTCAAATCCCCGACTTGGTAGCTTGAAAAACAAACTGAGCTTGGTGCCAAAAATCCCTAAAGAAGGGATTGTAGCATGGTCAGGGAGTGATTTCTCATTTCCCTCTCTTTCTCAGTGAGCATACACACCCTATAGCAAAAAATCAAAAGCACATAAAAAAATTATACTGGAATTTCTTTTTTAGTTTTTCTAAATTACCCTTTGAAACTTATATAAGATCATGAAGCAGAGGCTAAGCAGTTATTTGGTTAAAAATGAATACATATGGGCCAGAAGATTGGCATGGTGTTTAAGATGCTGGATCTCACATGGCTGACTCTGTAGTTTGAGCCCTGGACTTTGAGTTCTGAAAAACAGGCTGGGCATGTATGTGTGGGTGTCCAAAATCAGTGGAGGAGAAGGGGTTACATTATGGCCACCCCCTGCAACCCATAGTGGAGATTTCTCACTTTCTTTTCTCTCTTTTTATTTATTTATTTTTTAAAGATTTTTCCTATAGGGCAAGCACGCTCACTTTAGAGACAGACAGAGACAGAGAGACAGAAAGGGAGAAGTCATCCTCCTGTGGGGAGGGTCACCACAGTCTCTTCTCTTCCACTCTCCTCTTGGGGTTTTGGGCATGTATGCACACATGCTCAGACTGAGTTTCAAGCCTCCGAGTCCAGTATTTGAACCATGGTCAGCCATGTGGGAGTCCAGTAACATAACCATTATACCATCTACTGGTCTCTTTCACTTCCCCTTTCTTAGTCTTTCTCCAGGTAGTGCATTTGCCCTATAGTACAGATCAAAGAAGAAAAAAAAAATGCCTATGTGCTATATTGTGTTGATGACATGAATTTTCTTTTTCTTTTTTTTAAAGAATTATTTTCTTCAATTTTATCTATCCATTTATTTATTTACTTTATTTGACCAGAGAGGGACAGAGAGAGAGAAAGTGAGAAAGCAAATTGCCAGATCCGGGACTCAACATGGTCAGCCATGTGGGAATCCAGCACCCTCAACCACCATGCCA